TTTGTCTGTACAACAGAGGTACTAATCAATAGGATTATATACAGTGGTAATCTGTACAATACAGGTACTAATCAATGGAATTATATATAGTGTTAGTCTGTACAATACAGGTACTAATCAATGGGATTATATACAGTGTTAGTCTGTACAATACAGATAGAGGAATTTGTAGAAATTTATATTAAATATAGCACAAATTGAATAGTTAAAACATAGTATCTACTTTATAACACACAAGTCTCTGACTGAAATCAATGGTGAAATGCTGGGTTAAAATTTTGATATAATCTGTTTTGAACTTTCCAATTCATGTAGTCTTTAGTGGTTTCGATTTTTATAAACATCAGAACTTCCTAAAAAAAGTTTAGGACAGAATTTCTAACAATAAACTAGTTATTTTAACCACAAACGAGCCAGAGCCAAACACACTCGTGATTAACTCCTTAATACTTCCTTATAGCTAAATATTTACAATAATCAAAACTACTGAGATATACAGACAGTTATATTATTAATTTCTCATACAAAATTGGTCTTCCAGTAATGGAGCGAGCAGCTTACAATACTGTTCCTTTAACACTCAATTAATTTAAATAAGATAAATCTATTTAGAGCAGTAATGACCATAAACCAAACACTCACCTTTGGTCTAGCAGGCAGTACACCAGGTGCAGGCACATGATTGTTGAACCCGGGTAACATTTGTTCCTGGAATGAGCTAGGCCCATTCATGACGTGGTGATTCGGAGGTATGTTCATCAAAGACATCATCTTGCTGGGTGAAACTTCTGTATTAAAGAAATAACATATAAACTTCTGTGGCATATAGCTCTAGTTGCTTCACTACTTCATTTCAACTGGTTCAATATAAAAAATTATTTAATGTATAATTATTTTATAGAAATATAAATATCTCGGCAAGAAGCTTAAACACACAAGATTCCCTTCTTAATAACTGTGGTATTGATCCTGGTACTTCAACAGTAGGCTTATCCTTGACACTTAAATTCCATGACAATCACACACTCAGGATTTCCTTCTTAATAACTGTGGTATTAATCCTGGTACTTCAACAGTAGGCTTATCCTTGACACTTAAACTTGATAACTTTCTCACACTCACAATCCACTTCTTAATAACAGTGAGATTGTCCTTGACACTTTCAACTTGATAACTTTCACACATTCAGGATTCACATCTTAATAACAGTGAGCTTATCCTTGACATTTCAACTTTATAGCTTTCTCACACTCAGAATTCACTTCTTAATAACAGTGAGATTGTCCTTGACACTTTCAACTTGATAACTTTCACACACTCACAATCCACTTCTTAATAACAGTGAGCTTATCCTTGACATTTCAACTTGATAGCTTTCTCACACTCAGAATTCACTTCTTAATAACAGTGAGCTAATCTTTGACACTTCAACTTGATAGCTTTCACACACTCAGAATTCACATCTTAATAACAGTGAGCTAATCTTTGACACTTCAACTTGATAGCTTTCACACACTCAGAATTCACATCTTAATAACAGTGAGCTTATCTTTGACACTTCAACTTGATAGCTTTCACACACTCAGAATTCACATCTTAATAACAGTGAGCTTATCTTTGACACTTCAACTTGATAGCTTTCTCACACTCAGAATTCACTTCTTAATAACAGTGAGATTGTCCTTGACACTTTCAACTTGATAACTTTCACACACTCACAATCCACTTCTTAATAACAGTGAGCTTATCCTTGACACTTCAAATTCATAACTTTTACACACTCAAGATTCCCTTCTTAATAACTGAGTTTATCCTTGACACTTCAACTTCATAACTTTCCCACACACACTCAGGATTCACTTAAGAGTAAGCTTATCCTCATAAATTTGAAACTGATCAATGAAATAGAAAATTCCCTGTATAGAAAACAACATAATATAATACATTATTTGATAGATGAAAACCTTTGCTTTCTACTAGTTGTAAATAATATAGTATAAAATGTCAAGAGAACTATTGGCAATTTATGAAACAAGGGATATGACAGGTGGGCATGGTAAGTGGGGGTCTGATTTTCTAGTTTATGACTTGTTAGACAAACAAGATTGAAGACTATAAAAATTATATTTTGCCCGAGTAATATCTATATTATAATGAGTAATGTATGTTAAATTCTGTACTTCTCAAAGGGTGATAATTCTCATATAGGGGAGATTGTGAATTTTTTTAATATTTTCTTATTAAGATTAGGAACTTAATACTTATATAGTATTAAAATTTTATTTATTAGCTACATTTTGATGCCAAGTTTATACATGTACACTTTGACCTGCTCGTGGCAAGTGTGTTAAAATAGTGTTTCAATTTAAAAAGAACAGCCAAAGTACTTGCTACACTTGCAGAGAGGATATGTCACCTTTACTTAAGTTAAAAAGACCAGCAGCTGGTTCTCACTAGCTCTTAACAGAATATCATACATATC